CAAGCACACAAGCAGGGGGAGTGGCAGGCAGAAGGAGAAGCAGGCTCCCTGCCAAACAAGAAGCCTGATGCAGAACTCAATCCCAGGACCCTGGGATCATGACCTGAGCTGAAGGCAGATGCTTAACTGACTGAGCCACCCAGGCTTCCTGCATTTTCTATATATAATACCATGTCATCTGCAAATAATGACAATTTCACTTCTTCCTTTTCAATTTGGATACCTTTTTATTTCTTTTTCTTGCCTAATAGCTCTGGCTAGGTCTTTCAATACTATGTTGAATAAAAGTGGTGAGTGGGCAGCCTTATCTTGTTCCTGGTCTTAGAGGGAAAGTTTTCAGCTTTTCACTTTTGATTATGCTGTTAGCTGTGGGCTTGTCATATGTGGCCTTCATTATGTTATATTCTCTCTATACCCACCTTGTTGAGAGTTTTTATCATAAATGATGTTAAATTTTGTCAAATGCTTTTTCTCCATCTATTGAGATGATCATACAATCTTTCTCCTTTGTTTTGTTAATGTGGTGTATCATATTGACTGATTTGCAGAAGTCGAACCATCCTTGCATCCCTGGAATAAATGCCACTTGATCATGTGTATGATTCTTTTAATGTATTATTGAATGTGGTTTGCTAATATTTTGAGGATTTTTGCATCTGTATTCAATAGGGATATTGGCCTGTAATTTTCTTTTCTTGTGTCATCCTTAGTCTGGTTTTGAAATCAGGGTAATGTGGGCCTCATAAAAGGAGTGTGAAATTCCTTCTTCTTCTCTTTTTTTGTAAAAATTTAAGAAAGATCATTATTCTTCTTTGAATATTTGGTAGAATTCACCAGTGAAGCTGTCTGGTCTTGGACTTTTTTGTTAGGACCTTTTTGATTACTGATTCAATCTCGTTAGTAACTGTTTTGTTCAGATTTTCTATTTCATCATGATTCAGTCTTGTTAGGTTGTATGTTTCTAGGAATTTACCCATTTCTTCTAGGTTGTCCAAGCTATTGGCCTGTAATGTTCATAGTAGTCTCTTATGACCCTTTGTATTTCTATGGTAATCGGTTGTAACATTTCTTTCCTTTCTGATTTTTATTCCAGTTCTCTTGTTTTTTTCTTTGGTGAGTCTCCCTAGAGGTTTGTTAATTTTATCTTTTCAAAGAACCAGCTTTTAGTTTCATTGATCTTTTCTACTGTCTTTTTAGTCTCTATTTCATTTATTTCTGCTGTAATCTTTATTATTTTCTTCCTTCTACTAACTTTGGGCTTCATTTGTTCTTCTTTTTCTAGTTTCTTAATGTATAAAGTTAGATTGACACTTATTTTTCAAGATAGGCATTTATCACTATGAACTTAGAACTGCTTTTGCTGCATCCCATAAAGTATAGTATGTTACATTTCCATTTTCATTTGTCTCAAGGTATTTTTTGATATCTTTGACCTGTTGTTCAGTAGCATGTTGTTGAATCTCCACATATTTGTGAGTTTTTAAGTTTTCCTTGTGTAATTAATTTCATACCAGTGTGGTTGGAAGATACTTACATGATTCAATCATTTTGAATTTATTAAGACTAGTTTTGTGGGCGCCTGGGTGGCTCAGTTGGTTAAGCGACTGCCTTCGGCTCAGGTCATGATCCTGGAGTCCCTGGATCAAGTCCCGCATCGGGCTCCCTGCTCGGCAGGGAGTCTGCTTCTCCCTCTGACCCTCCCCCCTCTCATGTGCTCGCTCTCTCATTCTCTAATAAATAAAATCTTAAAAAAAAAAAAAAGACTAGTTTTGTGACATGATGTGATGAGCACTGTTATACACAAGTAATGAATCATTGAACATTATATCAAAAACTAAAGATGTACTATACATTGGCTGATTTAATTAAAAAAAAAGACTTGTCTTGTAGCATAACATATAATGTATCTTGGAAAATGTTCCATGTGCTCCTGAGAATGTGTATTCTGTTGCCTTAGGCTGGAATGTTCTGTAAATATCTGTTAAGTCTATCTGGTCCAACATATCCTGTAAGGCCAATGTTTCCTTATTTTCTGTCTGGATGATCTATCCATCAATGGAAGGCCCTACTATTGTTGCACTGCTGTCTATTTCTCCCTTTATTACTTTTTAAAAAGTTTAACATACAGTGCAATATGTTTCTGGAGTTATTTCTCCCTTCATTCCTGTTTAATATTTGCTTTACATACTTAGGCACTCCTAAGTTGGGTGTATAAATATTTACAAATGTTATCTTTTTTTTTTTTTTAAAGATTTTAATTTATTTGACAGAGAGATGGAAAGCACAAGTAGGTAGAGCGGCAGGCAGAGGGAGAGGGAGAAGCAGACTCCCTGCTGAGCAGGGAGCCCGATGCAGGGCTTGATCCCAGACTCTGATCATGAACGGAGCCGAAGGCAGATGCTTAATCAACTGAGCCACCCAGGCGCCCCCAGATGTTATATCTTCTTGTTGGATTGACCCCTTTATCATTATGTCATGTCCTTCTTTGTCTTTTATTAGTCTTTAAGTCTATTTTATCTGATGTAAGTATAGCTACTCCAGCTTTCTTTTGGTTTCCATTTGCACGGAATATCTTTTTTCATCCCTTAACTTTCAGTCTTGTGTGTCCTCACATCTATAGTGACTGTCTTGTAGGCAGCATATAGGTGGGTCTTGTCATTCTATCCATTCAGCCACTCTATGTCTTTTGATTGGAGAATTTAGTCCATTTACATTTAAGGTAATTGATAGGTAAGTGCTTATTGACATTTTGTTAATTATTTTCTGTTTTTGTAGTTCCTCTCTTCTTTTCTTGCAGTCACAAAAATTGGGGCACCAGACTGGGTATGAGCTCCTTTTGGAGGTGACACCAAATACTACAGTCCCATGAGACCAGGAACATAAGCTTCCCTGGCCTCCAGAGCCAGATGATCCAGAAGCATCCCCTAGGTGGCAGCCACAAAAATGGAAACACCAGAGGCATGTAAAAGCTCATTTATGAGAGATACTGGTGCTCTGGAGCATGGTAAAGGGAGACTGCAAAGATGGTACCTGCCAGTTTCCTCTCTGGAATGTTCCAGCAGGCTCCTAAGTATATATTCAATTAGATGCTTGCTCCTCAGGCCAATGTTTTAATAGAAGCAGGTGAGCCTCCTTCACCGGCTATCAGCTGCCTCTGAGCCCTGTAAGAGCAGTTTCTCAGATCACTTTAGTCTTTTGGGTCTTAGGACTCAGGCCCCTGTTGGTTTTCAGGTGTATGTTTTGAGGAGTTGTCTCTCAAGTGTAGGTCTTAAAAGTTGGTATACCTGATGTGGGTTTGAACACATTGCTCTTCAGGGAGAAGCTCCCGGTTTTGAGTTCCTTCCCAGTTGTGGGTCACTGTGCCAGGGGTGGGCTTTATTGTGAAATTGTGTTCCAACTCTTTTACATGCCTTGATGTGGTTTTCTTCTTGTTTGCCAGGTGTGTAGTTGTCACTCAGCCAACCTTTGTTTTTTAAGAGGAAATCGTTCCATTCTAGCTGGACTCAATGTGTCTCTGGGAGGAAGCAAGTTCAAGGTCTCCTATGGTGCCACTTTGAACCAGAACCTCCCAGCACTTGTTTGTATAAGTGGTCCTCACAACCCTGTGGGTAATCTGTCCCTCCCTTTTTTTTTTTTCCTTCCGAAGGAGAAAACAGTGTTTCATAGGGTTATATACTTCACCAAAATTAAGAACACATCTAGGAGGGCTATTCATCAAAAGCCCCTTTCCTAATAACTATTCATTCTACCCAAGTGGAAAAAATGTTATAACCAGCTACTTACTCATGCAAAGGGAGAAAAAACAAAATGGAGCTTTTCTGCATTGCAGCAGTTGGAAAAATGAAGTAGATGGCTGACTAATCAACACTAAAATTTGTAAAAACAATTTTTAAAACAGCACAAAAGTGGCATTTTATTCTACTTTAAATACTGGCCATATCTTAACTAAGCAGCTTATTTTCCTGGATTTAATTTCATCTGGAAATAAATTTTTGACCACACTATTAAATAGGCTAGGGTTGAAGCCATTTTATAATTTACTTCATAAACATACATTTGCTTTATACAAAAGCAAGGTGTCCAAGACTACCAGCAAAGTAGTTTTTTAAGTTGAAATTACACAATACTGCCAGATAGATAATACTTTGATCGTGTCAGTGGCTCCCTGGTACTTACTGAATACAATTTAAACTCCTTGCTCTGGCACTGAAGACCCCTACAATGTACCTATTTCAAACTTGCCTTAATTACTAAATCTGACAAACTCCTTTAGTAATCCCAGCTCTTTCACACATCACCCTATCCATGTGCTAACAGCTCACAGCCAGAAATAACCTTTTCCTGAGATTCCATGCCTTTCAGCTCACCATTCCCAAGGCATTTCTCATGGCACTGTCCAATTTATGTGCATGTCTTACCAACTTTAGTATACTGAAACCCTAAGCCCAAGTGTGTATGTGTGCATATGCTTTATCTTTCATTATCAGACATAATAGGCACTTGGAAGTATTTTTCTACAATATTTCCTCCTCTACAGAGAAGACTTTAAGGCTGGGAAAGAGCAGAAAGGGTGAAGGAGGCACAGCGGTCCCATTGATCCTAGTAAGTTACACGTGTATAATGCTTTCTGGTTTATAAAAAGCTTTCACATGCATTTCTCCCAATGACATAAAAAAATACCAAAGAAAAATGAACTATGTTTAAGATCAAGGCTATGAGCCAATATTTAGGAAAAATAGAGAAAAGGAAATTGCTAGCTTTGTGGAAGTAACAAAAGATTAAGGAAATGTTAAAAGGCTAGAAAAGATTAAGTGGAGAGAGCCTGCAAAAGTTTGGAAAGCTACAAACTTTTAAATTAGACTGCAGTGGGGGGAAATGAAGGCAATGAAAGACTGCAGGAAAGTGGTAAGAGGGAAAGCCCCAGAATCTGCAGTCTCTTGTCAGCCTGTGTTGCTCCAGAGTAGGAACCCAGAAAGGGTACTTGAGAGCACAGGGAACACTATGCCGGTGACTGAACAAAACATGGCCCTGAGATCCATGAGAAATGGAATCCATTCTTGGCACAGCCTGGTAAAGTTGGAAGTTGGTGATATCAGGAAGATGTCAGCCTTTGAAGAACTCAGTAGAAGGTGATTTGGGTGCAAACAAGAGATATCACAAAATTCTTATTGTGGCTTCACATGTTGATACTTTGGACATTGTGGAGTATGATTCCAATGTAATTCTGAACAGATACATTTTCTCCTACTGCCCATACTTGGGCTCCCATCCTCATTGGCTGCCTCTGACTTTATCTTCCTATCCTGATGCATCCAAAGAGCAGTTCTGAAAACATGAAGATTGTTATAAATATCTGGAGGAAATCATAAGCTGTGATTCAAGTTGGCTCGAAGTTGGGAGGGAGGGATATAGATGGTGTCTTGGCAATTTGTTGGGCCCAAGATAACTAAAAGGTGAGAAACAAGCTGTTGAACATCAGAGAATTTATATCAAAATTCATAACCAGTTGGATCTGACTTGATCAATTCACATTTTATTTACCTGAATGTGAAAGGTTTCCCCCTAAAAAGTAGCAAAATTAATGTGAACAAATATAATTAACATCGACTGAAGAATGGAGTTCTATGGATGGAGAAGTCTCACCACATCTGAATGACCAGCTGCTTAAGGCATTCTTCTACAAGTACTATGCTGATGAAGAAATACAGATTCCCCCACCCCAACTCTGACAATCCTATGTACGTGGCAATAAATACACAATTGACCCACAATCTAGAACCTCCAAGAATTATACACAAACACAAGTGGCCTTAGTTAGAAAGGCCTCAGAAATCTAGACCACATTAGATTTTCAGAGCTATGGAGGTCACTTCACTAGTATATTTAATGTTTATAAGCACCTATACGAAAGGCACAATGGGGAGTGTAAGATGTCATGGATCTGACCAACTGATGGAGGATTCTTTACGGGCAAAATGGTCAGAGCAGCAGCCCCCAGCCTTCTGCCCATGAGACATCATAAAGTGCTGGCTGGAGGTGGTTAGCCAGTCTGGAAGCCCATTTCAGTCTAGTAGGTGAGAATAAACATTTCAGGTCCTACCCCTTCCAGACAACTCTCCTGTAGCCTCCCATCAAATAAGCTGTTCCTCAGCCACCTTCTAGAATGTAGAAGAGAATCCATCTCAGCCAGACTCTGTGTCTTCTAACACAAGATGATGGGAAGTGGTCAATAAAGCCCAGCCCAGTTTCTGTGGTCAGGAAGGGCTGCGGGTGGCTTCGGTTCAATGAGGAATGAGCACCAACTCTGCCACGTACGACGTGGGTCACTGTGATAGAACTTTTTTTCCGACGTGGCTTCTCTGATGTTGAACGAGGTATGAAGTTCGGGTGAAGCCTTTTCCACATGTGTCGCACTGATAGGGTTTCTCACCAGTGTGGATTTTTTGGTGTTCAATAAGGCTTCTGTTCCGAGTGAAACTTCTCTCACACTCGTTACATTTATAAGACACGGGAGCCTCAACATTTTCCCACTGGCCTTCCACCCTCCCCTGACTCTCCCAGGTCTCTCCACGTTCAGGATCCTGCACGTTTCTATCGCCATGGATCCTCTGGTGTCTCAGGAGGTGTGAATTCCGCCTAAAAGCTTTACCACACAGGGTGCACTCATACGGCTTCTCCCCCGTGTGGATTTTGTGATGTTCTAGGAGGCTGCAGCTCTGGCTGAAGGTCTTCCCACAGTCCTCACACTCATAGGGCTTCTCCCCAGTGTGGGTTCTCTGGTGTTTGATAAGGTTTGAGCTGTGACTAAAGACCTTGCCACATTCTTCACACTCATATGGTTTCTCCCCAGTGTGGACTCTCTGATGGATGACGAGGGCAGAGCTCCCGATAAAGGTCTTGCCACAGTCTTCACATTCATAGGGTTTCTCACCAGTGTGGATTCTCCTGTGTTTAGTCAGGCCCGAACTCTGAGCAAAACTCTTTCCACATTCATGACAATAGTGCCGCCTACTTCCTGTGGCATTTTTCTGCTTTCTTGGTAACCTGCCCTCCTGTTCACCAGCTTCTACACAGGCAGGAATCTGGGCAATGTCTTCACTCAAGTGGCACGGTATTTCCCCAGGCTCTTGTCCTGGATGTTCCTCATCTGGGGGCAGGTCCGTGATCTCAGCCTGCATGTTACCACCTGAAATAACAAGTGGCCAGACATGGTCAGTTATGCCCTGCCACAGAGTTCCACAGACACTGGGATGAGGATTTCCGTGAAAGGATAAGGGTGGGAATAAAGGGGGACAGTGGGTGCTGGGGAGGAAGGAGACCGGAGAATAGGCATGGGGCCATCGGGAGCAGGGTGCACACTGGGAGTGGAGGAAGGTGGTGAGGACTGTGCTGGGGACACACACAGAGGCTCTAAGTCCTAAGGACGAAGGCAGGGCCCTGCACTGGGGCTGGACGCTAGGAGGGCTGGGCAGAAGGCAGCAGGAAGCAGGCAAGTGTAAGGACTTGCGAAACCTTCTGTAAGAAACGGGGCAAGCGGGAACTTAGAAACTGATCCCTAATCAGGGATACTAGCAGTCACTCTGATCCCAGACCAGGACTGGCTTCAGTGCTGACAGATGTGAGCTGGAGCTCCCACTGTGCCGGATGGAGCGGTGTGAGCTCAGATGAGTCAAGCTGTTGCCCTGTGTCCTGCGCCCTGATCTCTAGGTCAGCTCTGCTGTCCATTCCAGGTCACTTCTTGCTCTCATGCTCTGTGGGCCCCAGGCCCATTTCCTGAGGAGGACCCAGCTCTCCTCTGTCGAGGCTGGCAGTGGGGAGGGGATCAACACCGCGCACCTACTGTGAGCGAGGCCTGTGTGGGGGGTTGCATGTGCTGCATCCCACTTCACCTGACCAGAACACTGGCAGGACGGGGAAGGAGGCGAGGTCACAGGGGTTAAGGAGCTGGTCACACATGTGGTTAGGAGTTGGGGTTCAGAAATGGTGGCTCTGAATGCAAACAGTTCAAACAGGTTTTCACAGCCCGGTAGGTTCTGACCGATAAAGGAAGCCACGAAACCCTAGGAGAAACCAGCACCCATCCGTCTTACCCAGGGGGGTCAGGCCGCCACAGTTCTCCTGCCTTTCATCTCTGTGGAAGCTCCCCCGAGGTGAATCCAGCTGTGTCCATGCAGGGGAGAAAGCCAGGGCCACGTCTTCCGTTTTCAGCAAGCCCTGAAACAGTACATGATCCCACCTAGCTCCTCTTCCCCAAAGTCACGCCCACAGCTGGGCACAGGAGAGTGAACGTCCCCACTAAAGGGGCTCTTTAAAAAGACCAAGTGTGGTGTGCTATACCTACTTAACCCTATCTCTAATAACATTTTGGTAGAAAAATATATATATATAACCATTAAGGAAAAAATATCACACACATTTGGAAAAATACTTTCATATAAATATCTAAATAGTTCAGAACGTAAAAGGGTTTGGAAAACAAGGGACAGTACAGGGAAAGGAGGAGAAACATACCCAAACCTTTTAAAATATTTGTGCTGTGCTTTGGCAAAGTGGCCTGGGGGCTTATTTATATTAACGATTTTAAATATACAATGAAATCCAGGTCTAAAGTGAAAAAAAAAAACAGGGAAAACATAGATATTATAGGGCCTCAAACACTGAGATCTTCAAGCAGGACATGAAAGACAGGGTAAGGTGTTAAAGTAAAGAGGTTAAGTAAAGAGTGTTCAGATTTTAATATTAAACCTTAGACTAAAGAATATGCCTCATCTGTTCCTTCAAGTTTAAGTCCCTAGAGGGCAGAGGCCATGTGCTTATAACTCTAAGAGCATAATTTATGAATCTTTAAAAAACAAAGCTGGGCGCCTGGGTGGCTCAGTCGGTTAAGCGACTGCCTTCGGCTCAGGTCATGATCCTGGAGTCCCTGGATCGAGTCCCGCATCGGGCTCCCTGGCATCGGGCTCCCTGCTCGGCAGGGGGTCTGCTTCTCCCTCTGACCCTCCTCCCTCTCATGCTCTCTCTCTTTCTCTCTGTCTCAAATAAATAAATAAAATCTTTAAAAAAAACAAAGCTAAATCATCATTACAACAAAATGTTCGGTTTGTATTTACTAAATCGCCCTGTGGAAGAAGAAAATCCCACTGATAAAGGAGCTGACCAAACAGATGGGGCATGAAGACTGGGGAACCAGATAGTACCCCGCGCTAGGAGTAAAACAAAAAAATTCTTGGAAAATAAAGGCAGACAACAGTAAGCAACCTTGGGATTGATAAGAAAACTCCAACTCCATGTGGATGTAGGATGAGGGAGGAGGAGTGGGAGAAAGGGACCTAACGGGAAGCCCAACAGCAGTGAGGAGTGCTGGGGAGGGGGCTCCAGCTCACCTGGGGCTCTGAGGGCAGCCTGGCAGCCACCACTGCGTCTCCTCTGCAGCGCCCTCCCGGGGCAAGCCCAGGAACCTGGAGAACTAAGAAGGAAAGACGCTCTGGATGAGATGGACCCTGGCACCCAGCCTCCCTGGCCTGTGGATTCCAAATTCAAAAACTGGGCTAGTAAATTCCTGCCAGGAAGTTCATACAGAATGTGCTCCTTTCCCCAGTGCCTGGTCCCTACCAGCTCCAACCCTAGGCCTAGAGAGGCGTGGTGTGCTCCTGCAGATGTGCATGACATGAAAGCAACATCAAAAGAAAACAAAGCTTTCCATTTGAAGATCTTCAGTCTTGAATTTTGCTGAGAGAATGGATAAGAAGATTTTTGATGTTAAAACAACTCTTTACTAGCTCTTAGGGTGTTTCTGCTTTAGTTTTAAAAAACTAAGAGTCAGATGAGATTAGGCCTAGAAAGAAGAAAATGAGTAACGCTTACATGGAACTTGCTTAGATTAGAGAAGTAAAGGGTAACTTCCGGTTTTCCTGGAAGAGCTGAACTTTGCAAGGGGCAGAGAACAAGTTAGTTTAGGTCAGAACCTGTGTGTTGAAATAAAGACTGCGTGTCAGCTGGTGTGTCCCAGGGCAGTGTGTCTTGGGAATACACCCAAATGTGCACAGCATTCGAGGAACATATGGTGCTTTCCCATGGAGTGATTCTCACCCTGTTCTAGTTACAGACCAAGGGTTTAGAAGATTTATACTCTTTGATTTGCAGCAGTCCTACAATGTCTGGGATTTACATTTCTTGCCTTATATTCTTCACAGCACTTACCAATAACTAAAATTTCATCATTACATTCTTTGCCATCTTCCCTTTTAGAATGTAAGCTCCAGTGAAGCAAGAAATCTGTCTTACTGACAGCTCTATCCCTGATGCCAGAACACTGGCTACCACACTTGGGGGGGGGTCCTCCATAAATTATGTTAAATGAATGGAGGTCACTCTGTTATTAAAAAATCAATTCTTTCCAAACACCACTTTTAATAGTCTTACATTTACTAGGTCAGGTTTGGTTAGAAAAGCTTCCCACCATTGTTTGAAATTTCCCTGTCATCTCAGTCTAAAAGTAAAGTAGATCTGTGATGGGCATATAAAGCACTTGTCAACAGATCTGTCTTTTAAATGAAGCTGATGAAGTCTGTAGAATTCAAACTGCCCAGAAGATAACACTCACCCCTGTCTGCTGAGGCCTGGGAGCCCAGAGATTCGTGCTTGAGCAGAGCCTTCATTGGCTGGAACTGGGTACTCCATGGCCTCTGAGCTGGTGTCAACACCGCCATTTTGCAACAGAGTAGCTGCCTCTGGTCACCACCTGGGACCTGGAAGTCATTCACGTATTGATTCATCAAAACTTCTATTATGCTTTCTATGTGCTAGTACTTTCTATTTTCTAGGCGCTATTTCTAAGAGCCTTATGAATATTCACTGAATGCAGATACCAACGACACTATGAGCTAGGGACTATTATTATCTGTATTTCTGTAATGAGGAAACAGAGGCCCAGAGTTGAAGCAACTTGCCCAAGGTCACCCAGCTAATAAGTGGTGATGCTAGGATGGGGAGTCAGGCAGAAGGAACCCAGAGTCCATGCTCTTAACCCCTACCGCATGCTCCTTCATTATATACGTTGTGCTCTTTGGGAACTAGTGTTAAGTTCTCAGAATATTCATAATATTCATAATTTTTCTTACTGAAAAGTGGAAATAATAATTTCTAGCTTACAAGGTCTGGAGGACTAGTAAATAAGATGTGAAATAACCTAACACATGGCCTGGTACATGGTTCATCCTCAATAAGTGCATGTTTCTTTCCAGGCATTTGTAATTAGTTCTGAATCCACTTTCATGATCATTAGCTTATATGCAGCTTAGAATTTCCACATCCTCTATATAAAACATACAACCTGATACTAAGAGACTTGAAATGCGTTTTCACTGTTAGGGGACTCAGAGGCACTACCGCCAATTCAAGTAGCTTGGTCTCCTGGTCACCAGTTACTCTGGTTATGTGTTCCCTGAAAGGAACACACAAAAATACAGGATAATGCACATGGAAAATGGTCTACAGGGCACCTGGGTGGCTCAGTCATTAAGTGTCTGCCTTCGGCTCAGGTCATGATCCAGAGTCCTGGGACTGAGCCCCACATTGGGCTCCCTGCTCTGCAGGAAGCATGCTTCTCCCTCTCCCACTCCCCCTGCTTGTGTTCCCTCTCTCGCTTTGTCTCTCTCTGTCAAATAAATAAATATTTTTAAAAAATAAATAAAATCTTTAAAAAAAAGTGGTCTACAAAAAGCAATAAGATGCGGATAAAAATGAACCCAGGAGTTCCTAACCTGTGGTTCATGGACTCCCTTCCAAGTGTCCTATGAATTTAAGTAGGAAACATATTTCTATTTTTATTGGCGTCTAAGCAAAATTTAGCAATTCCTTCAATTATGAATGGAAGCAACAAACCAAAGTGTTATAATCCTAAGTAGGCACAACCAGGCAAACACTATCAAAGTCATTCAGCACCACTTTGAAACTACCAGTTACCGGGCCTGTCCCTAGGTCTTACTATTTGGTGCATTAATTTTAAAAAGCATATATGTGATTTTATCACTAATTTGTTTCATGCTCTGTTAACTGTATTTCAATATAATTGAGTTCTTTTGTAATCCTTCATGTTCTTAAAAATACTAGTATGAGGAGGGGTCCAGGGACTTCTCCGGAGGGGCAAAGAGGTTCATGATACAAAAAGAGATTAAGAACTTCTGGATCTTCCAGAAACGCCCCTCACACCGATCTTGAGACTTCAGGAAGAGACAGAGCTCGGCTCTCAGACACTAAGCCCTTTGCCTCTACCTGCGGCCCTGGCTCCTCCAGCTGCCTCTGCAAATACTCCAAGAGCACCACCACCTCGTCCCCGCTCTCCGGGTGCCGCTCCCGCACCCAGGCCTGCAGGTCCCCCGGCAGGATGGTCAGGAACTGCTCCAGCACCAGCAGCTCCA